TTAAGATGGGAGGAATGAATCGATGAATCAGTGAATCAATAAATAAGCATATCAACTAATTAGTGAATACACAGATCAACGTAAGCAGTGAATCAGCAAAAAAATGAATCACGAAATCAATGAATCTATAAAAGAGTAAATCAATGAATCGGCGAGGCAGTGAAACAATAAATCCTTGAGTGATCCCTTGACCTGCTGATTCGTTTATTTAAATATTTAATTTTTCTCAATTTGCTTGCAGCTGTTTCATTGACTTATTGATTCACTCTTTTCTCGTGTTTCTCTTTTTTATTGATTCGCTCATTCATTGATTTTACTTACTGATTCAATATTACCTTTATTTGTTCATCTACTAATTCTTTTATTTGATGACTCGTTTATACGATATCCTTTTTTTTAATATAATTTCCAAACTGTTTATTTAACAAACTGATTCATTGGATCGCTTATTAATCAATTTTCTCATTTATTTATCTGATGTTTCATTGACTTATTGATTCACTCTTTTCTCTCTTTTCTCGTGTTTCTCTTTTTTATTGATTCGCTCATTCATTGATTCTACTTACTGATTCAATATTACCTTTATTTGTTCATCTACTATTTCTTTTATTTGATGACTCGTTTATACGATATCTTTTCTTTTAATATAATTTCCAAACTGTTTATTTAACAAACTGATTCATTGGATTGCTTATTAATCAATTTTCTCATTTATTTATCTGCTGATTCATTGACTTTCTGATTTATTAAAATTTGTAAGTCTATGAATTTCTAAAATGACTAAAATTCTCTCACTTTAATCAGACCCACTTTAATCAGTTTAAAATAATTTGTTGAAATAGTGACAAAACAGTTTTTTAATTCATAGTTATATTTAACTTCCAATCATTTGCACTTAGTGTGCAATCTATTCCAATCATTTTAAAATATTAATCCATGATCTAATCAGCAGACTGACAGTGGTAACAAGTAGCTTTGCTTTAAATTAAAAACTATTAAAATGATTAACTTTCTCTTCATGCTGATTTTTCTCTGCCTTTGCTCATTTAAACAATAAGATTTCCAAGCCAGTATAATTTAGATAACAGACAAATCGGCAAACTGCTCAAAACTCAATATTTTCTGCAATATTTTCAATAGATTTATAGTAAAAAAATAAAATTAAAGTAATTTTTTTTGTTAAAAAATGTTAATTTCTAAAAAGTTTTCGCATGGATACTTTTGGTCAAAGTGGTATGTTACAGTACTAATGCAGAAGTCTGAATCCAGTATATTGTTTCTTAAATTTGATTACAATAAAAAAAAATATTTGTCTCTTATTATTTATGTTTTTAATTACTTAGTTTTCAATCATTTAGTTTTCAATTATTTATGTTTTCAATTGTTAATAGTTTAAAAATTATTTATGTTTTCCAAACAACACAGTTTTTATATGCTTCTTTTAAGGTATTTATGTATCTTTCTATGGTTACATGTATAAACAGCGATGCACCGAGAGAATGTATAAAAAGTATATAGGCCAAACACTTTTTCACACCCCTCTAGATAAGAGATTCTAGACAACTGTAGAACGAATCCACTTAACTTTAGTGCAAGTTCATATGGATTTATGGAAAGTACAGCTTAACTCTTTTATCTACGGCCATAAAAATCAAGCAATGACGGTGATAGCAAACCTGCTGTATCGAGCAAGGACCAAACATGCAATGACCCTTAGTAAAGCTGAAGTAATAAACCTGATTTCTACTATAAATATTTATGTTTAAAACCCATTGCACTTCGGCTATATAATTATTATCCTTAATCGCATTAAAAAAAAGTAAAAGCTTATATAGGTTTATAGAAAGTGCAGCATACCTCTTTTTATCTACTACTACCATAAAAAAAAAATTTAAAAAAAACTGTGACCATATCCTGCTGCATAGTGCAATGAACCAAATTTACAATGACCTTTCGTAAAGTTATGAAGTAAACAAATCCGAATTTTCAGTTCAGCACAGTAAATATTAATGTAGATAAAAGCCTATTGAACTGCACCAGATTAATCTCTAGCAAATTCTAGAAACGTTCAATTTTCATAAGATTTGTGAGTGGTCTTTAGATATCCTTGAAAACATGCCAGGACAAAGAACGTTCTTTTCAATTATTTCACTTATATTTCTAACGATGCTTCTCAAAATCTCATGTCCGAATTGAAATTTCTAAGTTGAAGGTTGCCATCATGCCTTTCAACTTCAAGAAGCTAATGACCGACTGCTCCAATTTTTTTCGAAGATGGTATTCTTTTTGAATTCATTGGACACGTGTTTCCCCTTTTTTCTATTTCCAAAATTTCCATGTATTCACGAGACAGATTAAGATGGGAGGAATTTTTAACGGATCTCGGATATCGTTTCTTGAATCATAAATAATTACTTTAGTTATTTTTTAAAAAAATTTTATGTTTTCACCTTTGCTCCTCCGGATACATCTTGATAATAGCAAGTGTAGTCATAGTAATCAATATTATCGTTTAAAAATCCAAAAAATGTATCAAAGCCCCTCCTGGTAGGAAAATAACTTTTCTTGTGATATCCTAAATGCCACTAAAATAAATATTAAAAAAAATAATAAAAATAGAAAAAGTACATGCATGATTAAAAAATGCTTTTGAAATAACTCAAAATTATCAAGAAATTATAAAGAGTGATCAAATCAGCATTATATATATTTAAACTCTTCAACAATCCTGCTTTTTCGCTGAATCTCGCCAAAATTCACATTTGTGTTCAGATTTGTTTGGCATATCACCATGGCACGAAAAACAGTTACTCATTGCATAAAAATTCTTACCGTTTATTACGAAAACTATTGAATCTATTCGGGGTTCGTTCTGAGCATTACATATAATATATGATCAACTTAACTTAGGGCATAAAATTCGTAATTTACTTAGAAAGTTGGAGGCAAACGATAAATTAGTATTATATATCAAAAGGTGAAATTCGAGTCAGATGGTAAATTAGTATTGTACCACTTGAGTTAAACTCCAAATAATCACAAATACTTGATAATCTTGAAATCCAACTATTATTCGTATAATGAGTGCAGATTTGTGTGGAAAAATAACTTAAAACTGAAGATCCAGAACCAATTTTTTTTTTAAAAATCCAGAGAAGGTCATTTACATGAAATCAGTTTGGAATCAAAAATGCCATAAGCTAATTACTGAACTAGAAACAGTTTCACATCAATGACTTAAACCATTTTGTTTTCATTTCAAATTAAAAATATTTAGCTCTTATTTGATCACCCTTTATCTAAATGCTAATAATTATCAGTTTTACTGCATAAAATAATTTTAAATATGCATGAACACAAAATATTTCTTCATTTAAAGTTATTAATTATAATTTGAGTTTGACAATCAGGCTTGGAGTAAAATTTCAAATTGTAAATTGTAAAAAAAAAAAAACAGTTTTAATATATAATTCATTTAAGAGCAGGAGTTCCCTAACTTTTCTAATTTGCGGCATCTTTACAAAATTTAAAATAGTGTCGTGTCGCTCAATTATATAAATATTTATTATAAATATTATACATGATAGCATCTTGAGAAAAAGGTATGGCCAAAAACTCAAATATGGTAAAATTTACCTTGTTTCTGGCTATATGTGAACATCAAAAAACTCGATAATTTTTAATGAAGCCCTTTTGTTATGATTTTAGTAAAATTAATAATAAATAGAGTTCGGTAAAATTCTTCGATAAAATTTACATTTCAGTTTTATATTTTTTACTAAATGTGTGACAATACGAACTACAATTTTAAAAACCAGAATTTCCGGTAAACAGTTAACACTTGAACGAAAAAAATACCAAATGAATGGTTTAAATATCATATATTTTGAGCATTAAACCAAAATTGCGTCTTTGTTTTTTTAATCAGAAATGTCATTAAGATACAGTATAGGAATTTTTTTTCTCCGTGTACATATTCTAATTACGAATGATTTTATAATCTTTAATGATTTAATGATAAATTGACATTTTATTGCTCATTTAAACATAATTTGTTTTTAAATATCCAGAATATAACTTCATTATAACACTAAATACTCTTTTTTATTCAAAACTGTCATGTAATTGGCACGTGATTATTAAGTGTCAAACATTACCAGTTTTAATTCGGACATACGTTTTCTAATTCTGTAATTATTATTTGCTCAGTATTTATATTATTAACATGAAAGCTTCTTTGAAAATTTTTTTTTTCTTTTTTTAGCAAAATGAATAAAAAATAATAATACTTATTTCACGTGCGAAATATAAAAAAATTGCCTACTTTTCTGATAAAAATTTTTAAAAAATTGCTATATTTCGAGCCAAAATAAAAAAGAGCGCTTACTTTCTGACCAAAATAGAAATATTACCTACACTCCGAGCAAAATAAAAAAATTCATACTTTTCCAACCAAATGAGTTTTATAATTTCTCTTCTTCATGTAGTCAGCTAATGTCATTATATCTAAAGGCAAACCAGAGGCTTCAGCTGGCTTTATATTCCCATGCTGTAAACCTTTTCAAATAACATAAAAGAGAAAAATATTCAAACAATTTTGAGTAAACATGTATTTGAACAGCAAATAATTTAAAAATCATCAGCATATGTCTAATGAAAAAATAAATTTTCTTCATAATAGCTTAAATGAGAACACAATTAAAAAATTTAAAAAAAAAAAATTTATAAATTTTAAGATACAGTGCATTTTACACGCACCACGTATGAGTGGAACAAGTTTCAATGCACGTTTAAAAAAATAGATCACACTTACAGTTAATAAATCATTCAATTTCACCAAACATTTTTAAAAGATTCTATGTCTGCTAATATGAAAAATGTTGTTTTAAAAAAACACCATTTAAAGTTTACGTAAGTTTATTTCATCCATTAGTGCACCAATTTATAATACGCCATACTTTTCTTATTTTAGTGTGTCTCAACTTTTATTTCTAGAACAATGCCCTCAAATGCAATCATTTTTAAAAATAAAATAAAAAACGCTTATAAAAACCACACACACAGTGGTGTTTCCCCTTAAGAACTAAGCTCTAATTGAACAATTCTAATAATTGAATAGAACAATGCTAACTTTTCAAGCTTAAATTTTATAAATTAAAGAAACAATGACTAAGTGACTCAACTAAAACTGAATGAAGGAAAACGATGTATTTTATTTCTTATTACCCTTTAAATATTAATTACACTATTGTTAAAATAAATATATGTATTTCCTTAATTTTTAGCTTTTCTTATGAAAAATATATATATTACACATTGTAAAAAAAAAATCTGAAACGTTTCTGAATTAATGGGCCAGCTACGGAGCATGTAGTTTTCAAAAACGTCTCTTAATATTTCGGAAACCTCTTGTGGGGCTTAGCTACCAACAATGCTAACCGTAATCTATCAAAAGATTCCTCAAGATAGAATCGAGTTAACATGTAGTATATACTAGTGAATTGGAATTTAATAGTTGTAGTGGTAACTACGCTGCATTACTTCCCCACCAGAACTTTTTTGTTGTAGAATTCGACTGGTGGACAACACTAGTTGATTCATGCTGTTTTGCGAGAGACTAGGAAAGTTGTATTAAGACCACCATGTTTTGAGCGCTGGTCATGAGAGCTGTATTAAGATCATGGTTGCGGGCGTGGTCACTCCTGTGCTGCAATTAGCAGTCGAGTGAGTACAGACCCCCGTTGTGTGTGATCGAGACTGAGTAGCAACAGCGTGAGGACGACAATATCGCAGTTACGAATAGCAAGTCAACTGTCCATCGAACCATCCATCGAACAAAGAGTGTTCAAATCAAAGAGGGCGTTTCAGTCGAGGTAGATGTGTTGGTCGAGGCAGGCGTATTCAGATCACGTCTGCGAGTCACCGATGAGGAGCTAGGCTACCGACAACGTCAAAAGTCATCTATCAAAAAGTACCTCCTGGTAGAATCGAGTCTTCATGTCTTATATACTAGCGAATAGGAATTGACTGGTTGTGGTAATTACGCTACATTACTCCCCCACACCGATAGAATCTAGTTAACTAGTTAACATTTCTTATATACAAGTGAATTGGATTTTAATAGTTGCAGTTGTAGCTACGCTACACTCCGAAACTGAATTGGTGCCAATGCGATTCAATTTCCTACTTTTGAAAATAAAATAAATGTTTCTCAGTTGATCGGAAATATGATATTTAATAAAGTTTTCTGAGAATTTCGGAAACATTTCTGTCGAGTCAAAATTAGTTTCCGAATTTCTTAACAGTGCAAAGAAAATTATAGATGGAATATAAAATTTCAGAACAGTTTTTAATTAAGAATTTTAGTTATCACTTTATAGTAATTCTCCAACAATAATCCATTTCATTAAAATATTACATCATGTTGTCCAAAGCTCAAATAATACAATTCAAAACTTGTATGATTTTAGCAACTCTAAAGACGAAACTCTAAGGAGAGAAAAAAGTTTAAGCAGACAATAACGTAGAGAATCATGGGAGGTTTGACTCACTCTATTTTTCTATGTTTAAACATTCATTTAGTGGATGAACACCAAATTGGATTCGTGATATCAAGCACAAATATTTTCTGTCTATTGACCATTTTTAAGCCTAATAAAGCATAATAATCACAGCTGATAGCATTTTTATACAGACAAGTATTTTCTTCCAATTTTTCCCATACCATCTGCTTTTGACCTACATAGCATAAAGTTGAGTTTTTTGCGTACTTATATGAATTTATTGAGTTTGTTTAAAAATAGGAAAAGTAAATACATGTGTATACTGATTATTCTCTTTTACTTTCAATTTCAGCATATTTTTAAATCTTTTTTACAAAATGGTTATTCAGGAACTTTTAGATTTCTAATTTTTCCTTAGTAAATAAATATGATATATTTCTTTTAATTCATTAAAAATCTTTAGACATTTAATTATTTATATATAAGTTTTAATAACTCTTTTAATTCCTCTGCGATAACCTCCCTCATTGTGAGTCATACCAACCTCATCGAAGAGGTTGGACGTAGTTTGCGCATACTTGAAAAATCAGTAACAAAAAGATTTATCGAAAAAGATTTAAGATTTATAAGTGACAAAAGATAATTTAGGGAAAAAATAATAATGTTAACTGGTGGCAAACATTATAATCTATTGAATAATGTTAACTTGGAAATTTTATTACATTAACAAAAAAAAAATAATAAAATTCAAAATTGTGGTACAGGTTTCCCTATAAATCATTTGAAAACGAAACATTAAAAGTATCATGCCACCACGTCATGATGACGTAATGTTCAAGTATAGATGTAGTTATTTTGAGAGTTATTGGTGTTTGGACAGTGAGACATGCTGTTATATTGCACGGTCCAAATATCAATAATTCCTCGGAGTCCCAGACTCCTATAAAAGTACGTCTTGCCTTCTCAGACACTTCGTGCGAACTCTCAAAATAACTACATCTATACTTGAACATTACGTCATCATGACGTGGTGGCATTACAAAAAGATTTTGAGTGAACCATTGTGAGTCATACTATCCTCATCGAAGGAGGTTAGACCTAGTTTGCACATTCTTGAAAAATTAGTGACAAAAAACTAGACTGTAATTTGAGGAAAAAATAATAATTTTAACTGGTGGCAAACATTATAGTCTATTGAATAATCCTAACTTGGAAATTTTATTACATTAACAAAGCAAAACAAAAATTATACAATGTGGTACATATTTCCCATGTTTCCCTATAAATCACTTGAAAACGAAACATAAAAAGCTTTTTAAATTTAAAGTTAAAATGTTTTTAAAAAATGAATTACCTTTTATTTTTTCTTGTTATAACAAAAACTGTTTCTCAATATTAGGTATCACTTATAAGAAAAAATTTGTAAAATGACTTGAAAGAAATTAATGTTACCATGAGTTGTTAAAAATATTCTTTTTCTCTCTATTTCAATCTAAATGTTAAGTAATTTCAAATGCTATAAAATTTATATTAAAAACGATTTTAAAATATTTTTCATTAAATTGAATAATATTTTATCACTTTTCCTGCTAAGAGACTTGCAACGTCTATTTCCCCCCCACAGAACTGCGTAAAATTTTAGGAGTAAATAACATCATATTTTAGTGAACCAAGCAAGATTATAGCATTAATATATATTTCCAGTGAGGTATTATTTGTTTCAATATTCAGTTTATTTTAGTATCATTTTTATCATCATCCAGATTTTTTTCATTAAATACATAAAATTAAAATTTATCGTAAAAATATTCAATTTTAAAAAAATGTGTCTTCAGTTTAAATACCGATGTTAAAGTAACACAGCTCATTAAAATCCATGACGAATCATATTATTCTGAAATAACTATATCAAAACAATGAACATAATTTACATATTATTCTGAAATAACTACGTATATCAAAACAATGAACATAATTTACATATAATCTTAAACAGAAAAAAAAGTGCACAGGCGAGAGTATAAATTACCAGAAACAGTTCATTATTCTAGTTTAAATAATTAGTTTTGACCCTTAATTAATATACACTACTGGATGATTCTGTACAACGGTTATAAATTTAGCGTGGGGATAGGGCAAATCTAAGTATTTAGAATTGCATAGCAACCCTTGACTGAAAATGTCACTAGGTACAGATAGAGATGCTTTCCAGTTAGGAACTGGCTGTTTAAGCGCATTTGAATGGGTACTTTTATTGACCTAAAATTAAATTTTTTTTCTAATAATTATTGTCAAAATTCGTATTCAAATAGTCCCAGAATTAGCAGTTAAATCGTAAAACTGTTTTGACAACTAAACTGGAAAGCTTTACCAGTTAGTCACCTAATCAATAATGAACTATTATAGCTAAATCTGGACCTATTTGAATAAAATTTTTGACAATAATTATAAAAAAACGTAAAATTAAAAAAATTTAGGAAAATTAAAGTACCGATTCAAATGCGCTTGAACAAGTTCATAATAAGAAAGTGTTCCTAACAGCGTACAATGACATTTCTGGTCTTAGTTTGATATATAATTCTTAATCCTTATGATGTACCCTACCTCCCTTACGAGTTTATAATTGCTGTACTGAATAATCCAGTATGTAATTTAATTCTATCAATACGCAAAACTGTTCTTAATACGGACCTAGTCGGTTAGCATATCTTCCTGACATCAAAGCACCTCGTGATGGAGTACATTGCGAATGAGTATAATAATTATTAAGAACAACACCAGTGGCAGCTAAAGCATCAATATTTGGCGTTGGTATCTGAGGTGATCCATGAAAACTAACATCATTCCAACCCTTAATGAGGAAGAAGAAAATATAATTACTTTAAATTAATGGACAATGTCATTGTAATAGACAAACAGTTATAGATGAAAAAATTGCAGTACTTTGTAAAAAAAAATACAAAAATTATGACTACATTTAGATTGTAATATTAGAAACCATACAAACAAAGTCATACAAAAGTTTCAGGTCAGAATATATATTACTTCTTTCAGCTTAAGGCTATATTTATAAATAACTTAAATAAGATGCAAAAAATCTCTTAAAATATGCGTATAAATAATTAATGTGCTATATTGGAAACATAAAGCTGTTATGAACGAAAACTATTTTTTCAATCGAATTAAAATAACGATATAACCCAACGACTTTTGCACGTCACTGTACGCATTTATTGTTAAATAGAGAAATCCTATAAATAGTTAAGATTAAAAAAATGCTATCATAACAGACAAATGGAAATTACCTTGTTTTTATACACAATAAAAAATTCCGGATCAAATTATCACGGTATAAAATAATGGTACTTTGGGTGCATCATCCGTATACTCCATTGTACTGTAAAATCCATTTTTGCCGTAAAATATTTTACCATAATTTTTACAGTAATATTTATTTAATTAGAGTGATTCAGGGATTTTACGGAAATTATTAATGAGAAAATTACAGTATATAAGAGTTTTTGTTCCGAAAAATGTTATGGTAAAAATTACCAGCACCCTGAGTACCAGTACTTTTTACCGGAATTTAATCCGGAATTTTTTACAGTGTACATAACTTTATTACTTGTAAAATAATTTTCTTATAAATGCATTACTTTAGAAATAATGCATATTTCATTGAAAAAATAATGTATTTTATTGAGTAGGAATTCAGAAACTAAGGACTTCAGGAATCTAATAATTCAGTAATGGAGTAGGAATGCCTATAAAAGTTCAAAATTTAGGAAAAGAGAAAAATTTACCAATTTTTTTAGTAAATATAACAACTGATTTAGTGTTATTAATTACATTAGTTACACGCATAATAAAATCTGCAGTTCAGGATATATTGCCATGTAAGAATTTGAATACCACCCAGCATCAGATAAATATTTTTATAAAAAGTAAAATACCGAAAAATAGTTATAATAGCATGGAATGATCCTACTTCAAAATACTATTTCCCTGTAATTGTTTGAAATATGCGTAATTTCTTTAAAAATCTTACGATTTTTCCAATTTTATTCAATAATGATTAAGCTTAATCCTAAATAACTTCAGTGAAGAAAGTATGTGAAAAGAAATGCACAAAAGCACATAAATTAAGTTATTAGTAACACGATCTATATTTTAAAATATAAAGCAACCCTTCTCTTTCAAAAAGAAATCAAATACTGAAATTAGGTAACTCAATATTTTACAATTTCAAGTTATTTACAGATTTTTTCATGATAAGGTAACCTAGTTAGAGGTTGGAGATACTATAACTAGCGTAAATCAAAAAGAATCGAAAGTTTGATCTACTAATCGGATTGTTATGAAGTAACATGTCATTTCAATGGTCACCTAAAATACGATAGTTAATTTGTGCGATCGATATCTATGAGATAAATAAAAATTATACGTGTAACTCATTATACGGAGATAATTTCATGCGAAAGAATTTCCATTATTTATTAATTTTTATTTTAATATAGTTTTTAAACAAAGTTGTGAAATTAAAAGTGCACAACTTTTTAACTTATTTCAAACTTCGCAATAAAAAGTGACAAATCCAAATTTTGAAGAGAATCGATAGCAAAATAAAGTGTTCTTGAAAATATGAATTAAAAAATTTTTATTTATTAATGAAAAAGTAAAAACTTATTAAAACATATAATAAATTCTTGAGAAATCTTGAAATTCCATTACTGAGAATTAGAGGCATTATATTAATATCTGTATAGTTTAATTAATTATCTCCAAACTCTACAGTGACATAAAGAAAGTATCTACAGTAATTTATGGATTCAATTTAAAATTCAATTGCATTTCTTAAGAATTTGTGTTATAGATGAAGTAACCTTTTTCACGTCATGCACCTTTTCTGAGACGGTATTCAAGTTGATAGTCCTTGTGCGTTTTTATTCATGAAGAATGATAAAAGTTTTGAAGCGAAATAAAATATATTTTTCAAAGTACCTACATATTAAGCAAATTTTTATAAATATAAATGAGTCAGAAATTAGAATAAAATTTAGTTTAATGATTGTATGGCTAATCTTTAAAAAGGATAATTAAATTGGTTGAAAAAACTTTATGCAAAAAAAAAATTCTTTTTTTCATTCTCATTATTTATAAACCATTAGATAATCATGACCACTTTTACACAGTCACAATTAAGATAATCACTTAATCGCCTTTTTATTTATTTATTCATTTTAAACGGCAGGCTACTCAATTTAAGATACCCCGATATAGCTCAAAAAGCAACCTATGCAGCAATGTATTGTGGAATGAAAAACCTATGAATTAGCATCCTATACTTTTTCCTCTCAATTCCATTTTATAATTTTTTTTTTTTACTTTCTTCTTCATTCATAAACGACTTCCATTTTTAATTTAGATCCCTGTGTTATTTTTTTTTTTAAAAATCGACGAAATTATTTCAAAAAAGTGATAAATAATTAAATATCAGAGTTTTCTTATGTCTTTAAAAGTCAAATTTTTCATAAAAATATTTGTTTATTAACAAACAAAGTCAAAACAAAAATGAAAGAAGATCAACGTTGCTACAGTGACTAAAAACAGAAAAAGAAACCATCAAATAAAAAGAGTATTTAGAAAAATCCATCAAAATTGTGAAAGGATGAAATATTTCTAAAACAGATAACTGAAATGAAGATAAATGTTTTTTCAATTGGATTAATTTGGGACTCATGGATCCTCCTCCTGACTAGCTATGCCACCGCTTATCTGAACAATTTTATTTCATTTATTTCTTTTGGAAAAGAATTGTTTTTTAAGTTTTACCTAGTCTATTCAATTCAAAAATAGACATTGGTTTTTACCATTTTTTTTCTTTTTGCATGTATCACGTCAGGTATGATAATCCAACTATCTAGACTTCCCATTGTAGGAACAATACAATTCTTTTTTTTTTTTTTNATTTACCGTTTTTTTTTTTTTTTTTTTTTTGCATATATGACGTGAGGTATGAAAATCTAACTACTTTGCCTTCCTATTGTAATAATAATATAGTTTACATCAATTTAGAAGCATACATTCATTTTCAACATCTTTTGGCATATATCACGCCAGGTAGAAGAATATAACTATTATGACTTCGTGTTGTAATAATACAGTCTACTCCAATTCAAAACTATGCACTCGTTTTTACCTTTTTACTTATTTTTCATTTATTTATTTATTTGTTTATTTATTTGTTTGTTTGTTTATTTATTTATTTTGCGCATATTACATCAGACGCGAAAATCTTAACTTTGTGTAGTAAAAGATAGAATGTCTTAAAGAAATATAGAATGATGGAATAGATAGAGTAGAAAAATAGAATGTAAAAGAAATCATTCTAATTTTTATATATTTCTTTTTATTTTCAAGTTTCTAATTATGATGGAACATAATGGATTTTAAGCGGAATAAAGAAAATTCTGACAAAGGAATAGTTCCTTTGTACCTTCATCCCTGAATATTTTTAGACTCACTCCGAAACAAAATCGGTAATTCCACTGCAGATAAGTTTGTTTTTTATTATGAAAAGAAATAATTTCATCTTTCTTTCTTTTTTTATTTTCATTTCAAATACATGCTTATGTATGTTGCAGACTATGAAATATTTAAATTAGTTACAAATTTCGAAGTTGCAAATTTCGTAATTCCTACCACGTTTCTTCACAAATTGAAGCTTTATTTGATTATTCTAAAAAAATTGGTTCAAAATTTTAAATGAATTGTTCGTTAGTTAATCATTTGAACTTTCAGTGTAACTTTTATCTTCACATCGTTACATTTATTATGTAGCTCAATACTTTGTACTGTTACTAGTTTATAGTAAAAATTATATTTATTTGTAGTAATAGCAAATTAGTTTTATCTTTCTCTTTTAGATTCAAAATCCAATATTGATACAATTCCTTAAAACAAGTGATTATAAGTCACGCTTTTCGGGTATAAAAGTGGTTTAAGTCGTAAATGTTAAACTATTTATTCTAACTAATTTTTAAAATCATTTTATATTATTATTCATGCATTTAACATACAAAAGATTAAAATATCTTTCAACGGAACTTCCGTTGATTAATTAAAGCTGCACATTGTAAATTTTTTGGAAAAAAGATCTTTTTATTTGTTTACACATTTACTTATTGCACAGGTTAACAGTATACAGTACATTTGAGAATATTTTTCAAAAAGTATAAATTGAAACTGATATAAATAAGAAAGATAAAGCATTTTTTGCATTGACTAACTATACTTATTTCGTTGTATTTATTTTAAACTTAATGTTCAGGTTTAATCAAGCATTCCTAAACTATGTTACATCTTATATAATGACTCTGTTTTTTTTCTTTTTTTACTTTTCTAATTAGAATCTAAAACAGCTGTTCCCAAAAAGAGTTCTGCGTTCCGTGGAAGAGTTCTGCGTTCTAGGGTTCCGTGGAAGAGTCACAGAGAGTCCGAGGGGAATGTTTTTATAAAGCATTTTTATAAGGAATGTATTTTTATAAGGAAAAATGCAAAATTTGAATGAAATTGTTCGAATAGTTCCGGAGAAATCAAATTTTAAAAGTTCCTGAACAGGAACTATTCAACGATTTCGTTCAAATTTTGCATTTTGCCATGTAAAATTACATACTTTAAAATTATGTAAAAAATTACGTTACAATTCAATTTTTTTCCGACTGTTATGAAATAAAATAATAAATATTTACTAAAATGCATGAAATAATTATGATAAACTAATTTTAAGATCGCATAAGAAGCTTTCAATTCGCATAAAAATCTCCTGAGATATTGCGAAATACGCAAAAAATAAAATTAACATTAAGGGGTCCAAACTTTGGATCGCTTTCCTGACCAAACTATAAGGGCCATAACTTCATTGCTGCTACCCCCTATATTTTGGGAGTCAGAAATCCGAATCCATCATATAAAAGATTTGTTTATTCAAAGATATATTTTTATGTCTGATTTCTTAGCTTAATATATCGTCTGAACTAATTAATTAGCATATTTGAAGTCACCCCCTACCATTAAGATTGAGTTCGAGAACTAGAAAATCAGATCATTAGATCGAAAGTTATACATGATGGTTAGTTTACTTTTTGTGCACTGTACATACATTCTTCAAACTTAAAATTATTGGTCGTATTTTATGTTAATAATTTTACTTCCATGAAAACGAGTTTGCTTTATTGGAGATTCAAAAGTTCCCTCATCTTCTATTAACTATAAAAAAATTTACTTTTCATTTGACAATTTTAAATGGTCATTTTAACTAAATCGAGATTAATTTCATTTCAAAATCATTATTCTAAACAAAGTCTCATTGCTGGAAGGAAAAAATTTTCCGCATAATACTAGACGTAAAATTTTGCCTTCCTAAGCTTACTATTTAATATATTTGGTCTTTTAGGAAAGGAATATACATTTACAAACATTATTATTATTATCAGAAACAGATTATTAAATAGTAAGATATTAAATAAAACTTCAATTTTAAATTTAAGTCCTAATCTAGTAAAAAATTTAATATAAAAGTTATCAATCTGGGAAATCATTGAGAAAAGAACAATCATTTGATACCATTTTTAAACGCTACACTTCATTAATAACTTTAACTTAAGCAAAACATAAATAAAGAATATAATTAATAATCCATGATTTAAATTTTTTGTCTATAAAACACGACTTAATAAATATAATGAATTCAACTTACCAAATCATCTACTAAAATGAATACTATATTTGGCAAATCATCAGGAACGGCAGAGTTACTAAAAATCGCTACAACTGTAAAAACGATAGCAACAAGAGCAATTGAACCAAACATTGCAATGATACGAGGCCACCAAGATTTCGAATAAGGAGTTCTCTCATCGTCTTCAAGCTCACTTTTTTCCACCATGAATATTTTAAGCGATAAATCGTTAAAGAAAAAATGATACCCTAAAACTTAATTAATCAGTGTATCATTTCAACTTAATACTAATATCCAAATCAATTGAAAATGAAAACGATTTGCAAATTAGTTACACAGTTTAAAATTAATGAACTTTTAATAGCCTTGACATCAAACAGTTCAGTATGCCATTTTCTTTTCCATTTAAAATGTAATCAAGATCAAAGTTCACTTGGTAATGCTCCGTGCAACGATCTCAGTCCAACTCAAAAACGCCATAGATCTGATTTTCGAAACAAATATTTCATCGATATTAGATTTATTTCAAGCACATTCCAACAAAAAAAGAAAAGAATGTCGTAACATTCTAAGCATATAAGTGTCAGTAACTATATACATAATATGATACTATTTTCTTCGAAATTTTCAAAGCTAAGACCATGAAGTTATTCCAATGTACTTCATATAATTCAACATCTATCCAAGAAAATGATTTACTTACTAGACCTTCACAGCAGACTAAGAACAATGCTTTGATTGCATATGCGGTGAGTTTAGAGTATTGTCCAACGCAAAACAAGACTGTCATAAAATCTTTCTTTGTATTGTAATACTAGGATTCGCATCATTGTGGAAGAGACATCATTTTTTTTCCCAAAATAATCACGTTTGTAGCCCAGTTCGAAAGAATCCTGTTAAGAAGGAATAGTTTTATTACCCTTCGTATCACAATTTTAATACACCGTTATTTTTCATTGCTTCCTCTGTTTTATAATCTTCTATCATTCATACAAAACAGAAGGAAAAAAATAGCTAGAAATGAATTTCTACATTAATCCGCATGTGGTCTAAAATATTGGAGCGTATCAAACCATATTATAGTTCAAATTTGCTGCAATTTTAATGTGTGTTTAAATTAAACCACATTATCCAACTTCTTAAACTTGATTTCGTAATGCTATGAATCAAAATGAACGGACACATAATTCAGTTTAACACTTTATGAAGGTTGTTGCAAATTTGAACAATATCAATATTATGGTTGGTTCAAGTTACAGATATTCTGGCTAAACTTTGAACCGAGCTTTATACCGATGGTTCAACATTTTACCGATCATTAAACCGTTATTTCTTATTTTTTAAGAGTGTAGAAATTAATTCACCGAAATACATTTTCTCAAGAGAAACCATCTTATTCAATAATAGGGCATAAAGGAAAGTAAGTTTCAAATTTTTTTTTATAACTTTAAATATTTCAGGGATATGGCGAAATAAGCAAAAGAAGAATTTAACAAGAGATTTAAAGTTCGGCCAGCTCTACTATCCCTATATTTTGAGGGTTGGAAAGTCGTTTATTCAGAGAAAGTACGTTTTTGTGCCTTGTTTCGGCATTTTAAAGTATCCTCTGAACATATTAATTAGCATTTTTGATTAGACGCTCGCTCGAACCATTAAAATCACATCTTAATGTATGAAAATTCAGCCATGAGATAAAAATTTATTAAGATGTCCTGTGTTTTATTTAGCGCATTGTACAGTGAGCAAAAAAAAACGGCCACCCAGAATAACTTTTGATCTAATGATCCAATTTTTACGTTCTAGGACTCAATCTTAATGGCTCGAGGGGATGACCTCAAATGTGCTGATTAATAAATGCAGATGATAAGTTACGAAATCAGACACAAAAACGTACTTTCTCTGAATGAACATTCTTTTTTTTCAACGAATTTGGATTTCTGACCCCCAAAATAAATGGGGAAGCCGCAAATCTGGAAAATATGGTCCCAATAGTTTGGTCTGGAGAGCACTCTAAAGTTTGGACCTCTTAATGTTAATTTTACTTTTTGAATAGTTTTTCAGAAATTGAATTTCTCAGATCAGAAAAAGGTCAGATATTTAAAACTCAATTCCTCAGGAACTATTCGCCTGAGTTTTCCTAAATTTTGCACTTTGCCTTGCAAAATTATGAGCGTTAAAATGATACAAAAAATTGCGTACCTTACAATTCAAATTTTTTTTCGAACCATTACTAAATAAAATAATAAAAAATTATAAATATTTATTTAAAGTTATTTTTTACAAGGAATTATCTTTGGATAAACGAATTTTATAATTGTGCGCAAAAATATTCTCGATTCGCTTAAAAAGTTCTCGAGATATAGCGAAATACGCAAGAAGTAAAATTAGCATTAAGGGGTTTAGTTTTCGGGGGGTTCTCCTAACCAAACTATTGGGACCATACTTCTCAGATCGCGGCTATCACCTATATTTTGGGAGTAAAAAATCGGAATCCATCGAAACAAAGATATATTTATTCAGAGAAAGTTCAGTTTTGCGCCTGATTTCGTAAAAATATCGTCTGCACTTATTAATTAGCATATTTGAGGTCACCCCCTCGAGCCATTAAGATTGAGTCTAAGAACGTGAAGATCCAATCATTAAATCAAAAGTTATTCGGGGTCTTTTTTTTCTCTTTTTTTTTTTTTTTCCTTTTTTGGCGCACGGTATACGTTTTGAATTCATACTATTTCAATCGCAAAACAATAAACATTTGATATGCCTTAGATTTTTCAATATGGATTGACATGAATCAAAAACTTTCAAATAATTAAATTTTCTATTTCTAACAGAAGAACTTCTTAAATAAACTTGCTAAACATTTTTTCTTTTCAAAAAAACAACAATTGAATCAAAAACTTAAGAAGTTCTTTCCTCTTCTGCTTCTTAGGTAAAAAAAAATTCTTTCGAGTTTTTTCATGAAACCTGAATAGTTGCATTGCCATCTAGTGACAATCCTAACAAAGTGAAATTCATTTATCTTCATTTCCATTAAAAAGTAAAATATTGAAAATATTTTAGCCTTCAAACACGCTGCTATAAAATTTGTTATTGTTTTTTGGAAGCACACTACTCTAATGGATTATTACTTTCTCAATAAATATTCACATTTTAAAGAAAATGAAAATTATCTGTTTATGAAATATTTTATCAGCAGCAATAACCTCTTTGCCTGAACCGACAGACTAAAAATATGAGTCACACTGCCATCTAGTGACGATCGTAAAAAAGTAAAACTCTTTAAAATTAAACCTTCATTTTCTTTGAAAGATAAAAAAAAAGAATATATATTTTATTCGTTTATATTAGATGAAATGTAATACCGTTTTCCGAAATGCATTCTAATAGGAAATTTTTTTAATAAACATTTTGAAGAAATTGGAAATTATCTGTTTATATAGTTGATTTTTTTCTAGATTAAGATCTATACAATTTTTGGTTCCTAAATAGTAATTTTTTCTTCTGAGAGTTCTAAGAGTAGTAAAATTCACATTGGATTTAGTAAATGCCTTTGTTTCATCATAATATAAATATTAGTTTATTTTTTATCTCTGTTTTGAACAAGTTTTGCTGCTAAGGTATCCAGCTGGATAAAAATCGCCAATTTTCACGAAAATTTTCGACTTTACTTTTTTTCTTTTTTTTTAACATTTGAACTGTCGTTCATTAGCTTTCTAAATTGTTCTGTTTTTTTTTTTTTTTTTTTTTTTNAATATTTTTTTTTTTTTTTTTTTTTTTCTCCTGTCTTAAGAATCGAAGTCAAATTTGTTTTTTCGCATGCTGAGAGACAAAACAGAATTGCAATTACATACTTTATATACATTTTCAGAAAAATGTTGATTTTGCGAAAATCTCTTTACGCGAACACACATTACAAAAAAGTTTATTATAGAATTCTTTGAAACTTTTTTATATAATGTTAGCTAAGATCTAAGTGTGAATTTATTATTTTTAACACGCTTTAAGTAAGAATGTTTAGAATTTTTCTTAACATCTCTGGGGGTACTGGATTGCAGATCGATTCTCCTCTGATTCAGGTCAAAATTACGATCTGTGGATGAATGAATGGATGTATCAAGGGGTCCGCTCTATAAACGGGTCCGACGTATGGTGTGGCAGAAGTCGAATTCTTGGCCATAGATGGCGCCACTGAAAAACAAGAAACGCACACTCTGCCTTAAATTTGCTCGGTTTCACCAAGCAGGCTTGCCCGTGTGGCAAGTGGCATTAGAAACAACAACAGCACACAACAGAATTTTTCTTTATAAAATCAATAAGGAATAAAATAAATTTTATTTCATTGTATATTTGAAATCTTATAAAGATTACAAATAACTACATTATTCATCAAGAAAAAAAAATATTTTAATATTTATGCATTACAATTTTATTATAGAGTTTCCATGTAGAGAGTAGTTTCTATGCTTAAATTTGCCCTTATTTTGATAAAAAATATTTTACACATTTTTAAAGTTTACTTCTAATTTGAATTTTAGGACCCCTACTTACCAAAAATAAAATTAAAATTTTAATTAAGACTCTAAACTAAGACTTTCTAAAAATATTGCGAACCTGGTCGGATACCTTAAACTTAATGTCAAATTCAAAAGTGTGTAAAAGGATTTTATATTACAGAAAACTTTTTTTTTCCCTTTACGAATTCTTTTAGATGGCTGAAATAGTAAAGGTGTAAAAATATATTGAAAGGAAAACTCCGATTTTAATACTCGAGAGATCAATAAAATGGCTGTAAAATAACTTAAAAACAGAAATGAATGCCTACTAGATAATTTTTTACTTTCAAACATTTTCCTATTTAAAAAAAATATAATAATAATAACATTTTTGAGAGAGCGGAATATGTTCGTTAAAGAAAGATGTCCGGTAAAGAGAAGAACATACAAATTTAAAAATATAACGCTGAAAACTATTTCAACTAAATAAATATATAGTTAAATTAATACAAAATTAGAAATCTGGAATTACATTGATTTTTATTTAAGATTACTAAAATTATAATGAATGAAATTGAAAGATAACTGTGGAAAAATACGATATATGTGTATTACTCTTATATTAAATTTACTTTCATCAAGTGAATAAATGCAATATGTTTTCATTACTTGGTTTGCAAACTCAAAGCATTTAATTAAAGTATAATGTACGACAATAGCTAACAAAGCATATTTATTATTTTCTTACAAATGACAAATTAATTATTATAATGCTATTAGTAGTTTAAACATTATTAAAGATTAATTTCCGAGTAAATAAAAACGCATGTTAAAACCGAGACAATTGTTTAAACAGAATTTTTAAAGGCGGTTTCGATTTTTTTTTTAATATTTTTTGCTTTTTAACTCATCAAAATATCATCTAAAAACATTTAACAACATTTTCAGTATAATTTGATTTACGTTTACATTAAAATAAGCCTGTATGAATAAAATTGTCCATCGGAAACTTTAAACTAAATATTAACTAGAAAGCATGTTCATTACTCGTTTAACGAATAAATTTAATTTCCAAGCAATCTGGTTAAAGTTCTCTTAACGTCCGTCAACCATAAAAGGGTTTTCGTGCTTTTTTTTTTTTTTTTTTTTTTTTTTTTTTTTTTTTTTTTTTTTTTTTTTTTTTTTTNTTTTTTTTTTTTTTTTTCTTTTTTCTTTTTTTTTTTTCCTGCCATGCAGCTCTACGACCCGT